TAACTAAATAAACAATAAAAATGAAAATAAGCATCAACAATTCAGTATAATCTTTGTAGGAAGAAAGAGAAACTATTTATGATTGTGAACTGGTAATAAAAGCAGTGAAACCACCTATCCTCTCCTGTACACACAAAGAACTAAAGGGGAATTGAACATGTGATAAAGGAAATAGTTCTTTACAGAAATACACCAGGGATATATTCTTGAAATTTTTCATAATAAAATTTACCCAAAAAAGGGCAGGGGAACTAATTCATTTCTTTAAATATTATTCTATGAAATAAATCAGCTTGAGTCAAAGGAAACATAAATTAAACCTTTAACTAAAGAGCGATATTACATTTTAAATTTGGAAATAAACTACCTTGGAATAAGTCTCAAAACTCAAAATCAATGCCATCGAATCATTGCTGACTCACAGTCATGCCACCTGGGTTTATGAGACTGCAACTATTGACAGGAGTAGAAAGCCCAGTCTTTCTTCCGCAAAGCAGCTAGGTGGTATTGAACTGCTGACCATGCGTATTGCAGTCCAACAGCTAACCACTACACCATCAGGGCTCAATCTTTGGAAGTGGTAGCATATGTAAATAATCTGTAATTCTAAATTTGCTTGTGAGCAAAGTTCAATTAATACAGCCTCTATGACATGAAGCAACTAGTTTCTTCTATAGTGACACTTACACATCTTCTTCTACTTGAAGCTGTTGAATATGAGATTTTATTTTCTGTCCTGAAGTTTTTAGTACAATATTTTCTAGCAGATGGAAATCATCTTGATTAAACAATTCATTATCCTCCAATGGCCCAATAATCTGGGGAAAAAAGATCAATACGGTCACTGTTGGAGACCTATCTGTAATCAGCAAAATCAAGGAGTCCTTTGTCATCCTGAGTCTGTTTTACAAAACAAGTTACTTTAAAGACAGGCCATATGTACAAATACAAAGAAATTTTTTAAAATTCAAATCAATTAATGTAGTTACAGTATATAGTTACTTTACAATTTCTCAATTACATTGTTTAAACCTTTAAAGTTCACTCTATTTTTACAGTAAAATCAAACTCTGAAAATAAAACACAATAAAATAGAAGCAGAGTTTTCACTGAGTTGGCCATGTTATTAGGCAATACCAGTCTCTGGAAAAGGACATTATTTCTATGTGGTACAGGGGCAGTGACAGAAAAGCAAGACTGATTGACACAGTGGCTGCAACAATGGGTCAAACGTAAGAGCAATTATGAGGAAGGCATGGGAAAAACAGGGCACTGGTTCCATTCTGTTGTACATAGCGCTGCTATGAGTCAGAACTGGCTCTACAATATCTATAACAAGAACGAACAATGAACATAAACAAAACCAAAATCAGAAAATCTGCTGTAAATGCTAGGAATCTAAAGTTTGCAGTGCTCATCTTAGCCCTAATTTTAGTGGCTGTAAATATTTATGAAATATTTGAAGCCTAAACCAATTTAGCTCTTCTTGAGCACACAAACTATAAAAGCAAATTTATGAAGACATGGTTTCATAGGCATGAATACTTAATTTATCAAAGATCTTGCTGCTTTATGTTCTGAGAGCAA